ACTAGTGTCTATAACACTTACAGCTTCAGGTATTAACTCAATGTCTTTACTCTTCACCATTCTTTTAAATAAGTTTATGTGGTATTTCCACTTCTTGTAAACTCGCTCAAAATTGTTTGTCAAGTCATTTAACTTTTTTCCAAAACATGAAGTGACCTCTGCCCTTACCTTATATTTACAAAATTAACCGGCTATTTTCCATGTATCAAATTAACTGTACACCAATCCGGTAGGCAAAAAAGGAAAATGTTAACATGCTCAACACAAAAATAAAACATACAAAATAAAATGAGTTAGTTACATTATCATTACAAGAGCTCCGCCTAGTGGTCAAATACTAACATTTCACCAACTGTTACAGTAACTTTGGTCACCTTTGTATCATCCCTCAGATTCTTTTATCTACTGCACAGCTTTGAGACCATGACACCACTAGGCTGAGGAGATGTACTAGTAACGTGTTTTGCTGTTAATGATTTCTCCTGCCTGCATTCCGTGCCAGTTATAATAGATCTTTAATCCTGGAAAACAAATATATGAAGTTTTGTCGCACTAATGGCTCAAGCAATCTGTATGTTTGTCTGTCAGTCTGTCTGGTCGACAGTTCATCTGATCTACTTCGGACTTGGTGGGTGTTTTGTTTGGATTCAAATAAACTCTGTGTGCTGTGACAAAATGGTCAAAGTCTGTCACCCTGTTGCTTTGTCTCGTCTAAATGAAAGATGAACAGTATATCTGCTGCTGCTGTTTAAAATTAAGGGCTGAACTCCTTGTTTTCTCGACTTACTTACGTACTTTTGCCTGTAGAAAGGGAAACTTGCATGTTTGTAGATACAAATTCAGAACACTGGTGCATTGTTTTGGTCATCTTCTGTGATTATGTATATTTTATATTTTTTTAATTCACAGGTTCTTCTATTATTTTTTGTATCTAAATCTTTGCAAAGTGTGTAGATACAAAGACTTGATAAAAGAAGGTTTTAGCTGTGCTGTTATGGATGTAATTCAAAGTATTAGTTTAAAAATTGAGTAAATCAAAAGATTTTAGCCATTTCATACTTTTTAATTCTGTGGTTATAACAGCAGGTGGATAAATGCAAAGTGATGAATATAATTTTGTGATATTATGAGCTCTCTTAATAACGAAAGAGCAGAGATAGTAAAGTAAAAAGCAAACTGTCTCAGGTCATCGACGTGAGATTTTCAGAACAGTGAAAGCTCCTCGGTGAGATGATCACCTGGACACAAGGTTAGGCAGCTGGGCACTGCTCTATAGAGAGGAAAAGGGAAAGAAAATGGAAAAGTGATCAGTGCATAACATCACTCTTGATTGCAGTTATTTTAAATAAACATCTCAGAGGTAAAAGTACGTTTTTGGGAAGGATGACAATATTTTCAGGCTGGATGCTGCTTTGCAGGGAGAACTGAATGAACTTCTCTTGCACCTCAGCGCTGAGGTCCACACCACGCCCTGTGAAAACAGATGATGTAAATCTGCTGCAGCAGGTATAGCTTTACCGACCAGCAGAACAGGTTAAAATGGATTGAGCAGAGTGTAGAATCAGAGATAAATGCCATATTACCATATAGTTTGTTAACAACATAGCTTTCTTTCCCCTTTGTTTTGATGGAATGAATCAGGGCATACTCGTCATACTTCACGTCGACCATGCGCAAGTCACTGAGATACCCCCAGCCTGACAAGGGAATGCAGCAGAAAAGGGGTCATGAAATTATGAAAGCAGAAAAGGCAAATGTACTAGATCGTTAAATCGTGCTTCTGTGTGTGGGTGTACTCACGCCGACTTGTGTATGTGAACTTTCCCGGTATCTCAGTTTTTTTGGCCAGATTGTTCATTCTCCAACACGAGCCATTAGGGCTGCAAAGAGATCACTAAAACATTAATTCTTTCACATGTTGTCTTTCATATATATTTATATACAGATATATAGATATATATTCCTATTTATTTAAATGTCCATTGTCCTCATGCCCTCACACTTACCTAAGACTGGAATATGACATCTCCAGATCCCCGTCAGCAGTTGGGGTAATCATGGCCGTGCCCATCTTCATGCTGGCTCTGTGACTGACAAACCACTGGGCATCAGTGGCAATTCCAATCAGGTACCACTTACCTGCCATCTGTGGGCACACAAGAGGAAAGCATCGGGAGTTGAAAACTTTACTGAAGCGTTTTTGAAACACTTTCTGTGATCACCTTTACAAAAAAGTGTGTTTTAATAACTCGCGTAAGCTTTGGAAGACAGAGGGGAAAAAAAACACTTCATGTGCGCCTTCTTCTTTTTCTTTGTTTTTGAAGACAGCTACATTGCTTTTGTTTATGAAGGCAGTGAACAAAAGATTTATCACAGCATGAAACACAAAAGTCAAAAAGTGAAAAGCCAAACCATATAAGCAAGTTGAACATGCATTGCTGCTGGACTTAAAACGATATAGGGAATTAAATAAATACAATGATCATAGAAATAAATATTGTAAAATAAAACATACTAATGTAGCCATTTGTCTTACCGCCTGTACATTGAAGTCTGCCTGAGGTTGGACTTCAGAAGAAACCATCAGAGAGGAGAGCACAGCTCCCAGCAGAGTGAGAAGTAAATGCATGGCTGCTGATGATGAGTGAAGAAATGATGATGTGGGAGAGTGTGGATGAAGATCTGGAAGTGTGCTGTTGAGGTTCTGCCTGACTTCCTTTATATAGCCGAGGGAGATTACCTCTTCCCTCGAGGCCAGCGCACACACACACACACACCTAGACAAAACCCGGGTTCGGGGATGGGTTCACCACATGAACCTGCATGCATGGTTTCACACCATGCAAAGGCAGAATTCAGTGAACCATATGAGAGGTTATATAGCAAACAGCTGGCAGGAGAAACACACAAAAACAAATCAAAAATTTGAATAACAAATCAGCTGGGATGTCAGAGAATTGGAAAAGCAAATAAGTAGTAATTAATTTCAGCTTGAGTGGAGACAAAAAAAATCTGTTTTGAAACAAGTACACTGAATCCACAGTGGTAAACAAGGCTAAACTCCAGCGCTTTCTGCGACTGAGACCACAGAATCAAATGTAGCTGTCAGCAGATGTGACAGTAACGCGCACAGACAAACACATGGCTCGCAAACTGGATTCCTAATCACGCTTCCCTGTGTAGTAACCTGAAATGATTCCCTGGATAAGCTAACAATAATGTAAATACATTTGTGGAATCTTTTTCCACTGCTGTTGAGTGATGAAGAATCTCAAAGTTTGATCTGTTCTTGTTCACTACAAAAGGTAATCAATGGTTCTTCTAACAACCTTTTATGTGACAAGAATGAAAGTGTCACACCATCCATCCACCATCTATCTGGGTCCAGAGTGAACTTGCTTGTTTGATCATACCCACAGATTGTGGCCTTCTGGTAATTTGGTTAAAACATAAGGGTTACCTTCTTGTGACCTAATTACTGTTGCATTTAGGCCAGATGCCAGTCAGTGACCCCCTGGTAACCTCTGACTGCTAGGGAAACACTAGCCCAGCAAGTTACGTGCTGGCTGCCGGATGAATCATTCCCAAAGATTAAAAGGATTACAAATCACTTTGTGAATGCTTTGGTTGTGGAAGGCTGCAGCAGTTTCCCATACTTCACATGGAAGATGCAGGAGGTGTTAATGTAACTCCTGTGCTATACAAAGCTCCATTTGCTGTTGCCTGCATTGTAGGCAGTGGGTGATGTTGCCTACTTTGAGTGAAGGTGTCTCACATTGTTTTCTCTCCCTGGGAAATGCTCACTTTGAAGAAGTTGTCCTAATTTAGTCGTCTTGAGTAAGCGTTAGTTTGTGTTTGTTTGCTGACATTTTTAAAATTGTATTTTAAATTATCCTATTTTTAAAATGCCAGACTTTGATGGACAACTGATCGACATCTGCTCCGCCTCACTTTAACACTTGTACAGTGCTATAATGATGCATAAATTATGGTTGTTTATCCCCCTTTTTCATCTCTTTATGTGCACTTGGCACTAGTGATGGACACACCAACACAATCTTCTTTTATGTGTTTTTGTTCCCTCATTTAAGGCTGAATAGGTTTAATATTGGTAAGTCTTCCCAGTGATATAATGATTCCCTCAAATGTCTTAAACTGCTGTGAACCGACTGAAAGGAGCAAACACATTTCATTCCTCTGTGTTTCTGGGTGCAGACATGTTTCCTGTGGCCCAAATCTCAAGCAGTGCTGACTGAGGATGAAGTGTGATACCACTCAACCCATAGTGTAGCTGTGGAGGACTGCCATTAGGAAGCAACCACAACTGTCCCCAGCCACCAACTCATCTCTTTTGTGAAGGGACACAGATATTTTTCTTTGTGATTAGATTCCCCCCTCTTTGATTTCTATTTGTTTTAAGGAAACTGTATTTTTAAACTTACTTTAACCCCTTGCTGAGACTGGTGCTTAAACCTAGAATCAAGACATCGATACACATCACAAACTGACTGGAGCAACAGACTTAATATTAATGTTATTGGGTGTTTTTGTTAATGTTAAGCACAGAGTGGCCTGAGGGTGGCAGCAGAGGAAAGCTAAAAGTGCTGGCACTGAAGTTACAGGGATGAAATATGCCTTCAAATGGAAGAAATGTATCGGTATAAGAATATTTATTGATGTGCTCCACCCAAAATGTGGATTATGAGAAATAATGCTAATTAGTGAACAGTGTGAAATGAAAATTGAGACTAGAAATTACAGTAGAATAGATGGGGTTTCATTTTCAATTCACACTATATGACTGAGAACAGTGATTTAACTGTTTACATAAATTATTATCTATAACAGAATAATTAGAGAAAGGATTGGCATGTGTGTTTAGATTTGTAGATCAGTGTTGAAGGCACCGTGAGACAGTTATGACCAAAAAACATTCGTTAAAAAACACACACAATAATGCAGCACACTGCAGAGAAGAAAGGCACAAAACGCACATTTTATTGTGTCCAAGGTGATGAACTTTGTTCTTGCTCTAACCATCACATGCAACATATTTTAGACATTATTTTAACATCTTACACTGAGCTAAGCTAGCCTCTTTGTTCTATATTAGTTAGGCCTCTTCTCACAGATGCAGATCCTTCTATAACTCGTTTTTCTTGCCTTCTTATTAATTGTTTTAATATATCTTTGTTTCTTTTTAAATTTCCAACTTGACCAGTACAGTGGTGTCAGTATTTACTGAGTGCATGTCTGCAGAACGGGTCAAAAGTGACCATTTGCTTTTCTTTGGCTTTCCCTCTGATGCCATCTTAGGGCCAAACCACGTTGCTACTGGATATTAAATTAGTAAAGGACAGCTATCTAGTCTTGAATCCGGCAGTTTTGTTTCTGGTTTATCTTCTTTGATTTGAACTCCAGAATCATTTAATGTTTTTTTTGTATCATTTTGAAGTTTATTAGATTTTTTTGACTTGCATGCAGTGAGATTATTTTTTTTTATAAAGACAACATATTTCCTTCTTACTTTCTGCACGTGTATAAAAAGGCAGGCTATAATGTCTGCAGTCTTCGATTAAATTTTATAAAAGGCACAAAATCCACAGACTGTCTTGCATGTGTCCAGGTCAAAAGCTTCAACAGAAAATGATGCTAAAAATCCAAACCCCAAACACATCTATGCATCTTTAAACAGTCATTAAAAACATGTTCCTATTAGTACCGCAGTCCTGGAATGTATTGAAAAAAAAAAGAAATCGAATTCTTCATGCATGCAGCACGAACAGTGTATTACCACGATGTCACCGAGTGCATTAAGTACAACTAGACCAAGTCAGTAAGGCTGGACCGAGGAGAAGCTGAAGCATCTGTCATGGTGAGGAACTCAACCCAGTTCTGATAGAAGCCACGAGAATACTCTCCTGTGTCAACAACGAGTCCCCACAGGCGGCTCTGGCCCGTTTTGTTCCTCAGAGCCAGCTGAGCCTCTCGCTCTGTCACGTTAAAGCTGATATTGAGAACTTGTGCCACCAAGAGGTAAAGCAGTCCACCTGCGACAATGCTGCTGTACCACGCACAGGTAAAGCAAAGTGCTGTGCTGTAAAAGTAAAGAGAACAAATCATTACTGCAACATAACCCACCTTTTCTTCTCATACTGGCAGGACAAATTCAAAAAACACACCAAAAACAGTAATTAAAATTGTCATTGATGAATTGAAATAATTATTTAATGATTAAAGTGATTCAATTTCAAGGCTGCAGCAGAAAAAAAAACATATAGAGTGCTGTACCTAGACTGAGTGTAGACGCCTGGGCAGTAGAAGAGCGCTGTCATTAGATACTGATGAGGACAGAGGCTGCAAAGCACCAAACTGATCCCGTACAGAGAGGTCAACACAAACACAGAGAGGGTCAGCAGGAAACTGCGATGGTTTGCCTGTCCTACACAGCTGTTTATCCTACAACATCTCAACAGGGACACACAACACCAGAGAGACCAGGTTACATGTGTATCTCACTATCATGCTGTATATAAAATGACAGAACTGCTACATTTACAGATTTTATTTAGTTTAGAAGTGTCATGGTTCTCAAGATCTGCAGAGGTCGTGTGTGTGTGTTTTTTGTCTTCGCCTCTCCCACCAGGGCGGAACTGGACCTTGATTCCCCGCCTCTGAACCCGCCCTGAACACACACCTGTGGCTCATTCACACTGATCCTGGCAGACTACTTAAGATGGCAAGAGAGGCTGCTTCCTCGCTGGATCGTCACATTACCTAGCGTCAGTGTAGCCTAGCCTTTGAAAGTATTCCTTGTGATCACCTAGAGTTTCCTCCTAACGTTATTTTTCTCTGTGTACAGGCCTTCTAGATTCCCTGCCGGTCTTCCCTGCCGTCTGGATTTCTGTAAATGTGTGTGAGTGAGCGTGAGCATTTTGGAGTGCCCATTCGTTTTTCCTCTTGGCAGAGCACTCTGCAAGAGGACTTTCAGTGTGGCAGAAAAAAAATCTAATTTGTAGATGTCCCCAAAATAATAATATTTAATAGGAAAATCTAAATCCATCTGCATGAGTTTTGGAGTACGTTTATCAAAATCTGTCAAAAGGAACTGATTATGGAAAACTTGATGACATGTGATGTGTTTATGGCCTGGTGAGGCCCATCATGTGCTTACTAAATTATGATCTAACAGTAAAATTAAACTATTTTTTTCTAGTGTGGGGAAATGTAAAAGAGAGTTCAGTTCTCATCTGCTGATCAGCTGTGAATGTGACGTCCCCCTGGTCCAAGCTTCTGCTCAGGTTTGTTCCCCTAATCTAATTACAACACAAGAGGTGTGGACCCACAAATTCAACAGCTCATTTTAATTTCGTTGTTTATTTCAGCAGAATGGCCACCATGACCACCAATTATGCTGCCAGACAGCCTAAAAATGAAACTAATAGTTTAAGACATAAAGACGTGGATGTCCTGTAATTTTCTAAAACTAAATTCAGATAAAACTGAGGTTATGCACTCGGCCCTAATAAATCTTAGAAACATGATGTTAACCAGACACTTACTCTGGATGGCATTATCAGGGCCTTCAGCAACACTATGAGAAGCCTGGAAGTTGTTTTTGACCAGGATGTGTCCTTCAATGCGCATATGAAACAAATGTATAGTAACACTTTTTTTCATGTGCACATTAATATATACAATTAGAACCATACAGTCTCAGAATGATGCCACAAAACTAGTTCATACATTCATTACTTCTTGGCTGGGCTATTGTAATTAATTATTATCATGTTATTCTATAAATTCCTTACCTGCCTCCATTATTCCAAAAAACAGTGCAGTGACAGTACCGACAGGGATGAAAAAGTCATTTTTGCTTTATCTTTCCCTTAGTCTGTGGCTTTTCCGGGCTCCATGTACCCTCTTTTTTCCCTTTTCTCTTGTTTTCCAATACCCCACAGCCAGTCATGACAGATGTCTGTGCCCCGGGCCCGATTTGCCAGGGGTTTCCTTCTCTTAGATGGGAGTTTTTCTTTCCCACCATTGCATAGTGCTTACTCAGCAGGGACCATTTGATTATGAGGGTTTTTCGAGAGAATCTCTACCTTACAGTATAAAACACCTTGAGGCAACTGAATAAACCCAAACTGAACTGAATATTAAACACACAATGCTTTGCTTACAAAGGAAATATATAAACATGACGTGAAGTCAGACCCACCAGATACAATGGTGGTCCAAACGCTGGACACATGAGCCACAGGTTCGACAATGACCAGCCCGCGGTGGTCGCATTATTTTGCACAAAGGACACCTGCTCCACTTTGCTCCGAGGCCCTCCTTTGGGGTTTGCAGCTCTGCTGGTGTCCCTGAGGGAGAGGCTGCTGATTGGAGAGATCCATTATTTACTTGTGTGGACTCCTTTTTATCCTCCTGACTGTGAGAGTTGTGAAGGGCAGCAGTCACAAATCCTGGGCCTTTCTTGGTGTGAATAAGAGAGACTATAGTGAAGATCATCCCAGAGGTCACGGTGCACATCTGCAGCTGGCTGACGTCCCCACGCGGTAAAATCTCTGTGATGAAGAGGTAATACATGTAGGCCAGAGAGTACAATGCGAGGGTGAGGAAGAAGAGGGTGCGTCTCTTCTTTCGGTGCGTTGCATAGTAGTACCACAGCAGGCCAGGCAGAGCTGTCAGGACGGTTATACCCAGCAGGTAGTGCAACGCTGCAACCTTCAGCAGGAGAGGCAGCATCAGCAGGGCTGGGATCAGGGAAATTTCCAGATTTTCAGCCATGGCCACCAAATACAGGAGACTGAAATGTACTTTTAGATGGTACTTTCAGCCACCTACAGAGAACAGTGGTCATAGAGTTATAATTAGACAAATGTTTATTCATGTGTCTAATCATTTCCCTTTTCACTGATGGAATTTATTTTCAAGTTCTTGAGCTGCATGCAAGGTAAAATGATTTCATAGTTGGCTTTTTCAGGTTTGAGACATACACGATAGTTTGCTTTGACTCTAGAATAATAGGAAAGATAAGATATGACTTTTGCATTCTCAGGTAATCTCAGAGAAAACTTTTAGAGCCGCTCTAACCGATAAGAGGGGCCTGCCAAATAAAAAAGGAATAAAAAAAGAAAGAAAGAATTATATGTGCCCTCCTTTTCTCTCTCATTGTGAATTTTGGCACATTTTAGGAAGCAAAGTTAATTGTTTGTGGCAAATTATTAAGAATTTACATAATTCAAAAATCTAAATAAAAAAATAACAGCATCCTGCTACAAGACTTAATATGATAATATAATAATTCAGGTATCACAATAAATATATGGTAAATTTGCATCTTTGGTTTTCTCTTTGAAAGTTTGATTCATTTTATTAGAAGTCAGTAGACTCCCTACCAACACAGCTAAGGCTCATCTCGATCTTATTTATCTGTGCAAAACAAAGAAGAAGAAAAAGAAAGAAAGAAACTTCATCTGTTTCTCGGCCGCGAGACATTGCCAGTAAACCAGTGTGGGTGCGTGGACTATTTCCAGTCTTAAAGCTAAGCTTGTTATCCAGCTGTTGGCATTCGTTTCATGTTTCACTGACAGACATGAGAATGGTATCACCTCCTCTCGCTTTCTTTAGAAAGCCAATAAACTAATAGCATAAAATCTCACACTATTTTCTGATTCCTTTGTATCTGGTTTGTGTCCAACCTTTCTTAGTGCCCACAAACAACGGACTTGTGTAGCTTTCTAACAACAGTACATACAGCACACACTCCTTGATTATTAGTTTATTCACCCATTTCTTCACACCTTCATACCTGTTAAAGGCTTCATCCAGATCCTCGCAGTCACAGCAACATCCGTACTGGTAGAGATCGCATTCACAGCAACAAATAGGATCATCTGGCTCCGGTGGCTTTAACTTCTGCCATTGCATAATGGCCTGCTAAAGATGGAGATTTAACAAAAAAAGGTCATTGCATACAGATGTCACAGTTACAGCGTGCTGCGTTTGCATGATACATGACTTAAAAAACACAAGCAAGTAATCGTGTCATGATCAATAAAAACTATCCAAACAAAGACCCTTTATTGATTCCTTTTTCCTTACGTGGCCTTGAAAGACCTCACAATTAACTTGCAGTGCACAGAGAAAAGCAAACATGCTCACACACACACAGCTCTCACCCCAGCTTACTGGGCTCTAAGTAGGTTGCTTTTGAGAATTAGCAACAGTGCTGACAAATCTAGGATCCGTTTTCAAGATTATATTTTTAATACAAGAATTACAAAAAGTTTTAAACGCCTATTACAAAAAATATGCATAAACAAGTGCAAAAGATAAGTAAAAACAAAAAATATAATCAGAATCAGCTTTATTGACCAAGTACTCTGGCTATTTCTTTACTCTCAAATACATACCAGAAAAGACACCTGGCAATGTAGAACAGCACGTAGAGCATATTTGTGTTCATACTTGTTGATGCTATTAATACTGTAACAGCACATTTATATTTAGATTATATATTAGAGTAACAAATACAGTATTAAACGGATTATAGCAATGCGTACATGACCTGTACTTGTAACTCTAAAAGATCCCTGTTTAAAAAAATATATAATTTTCATAATCAGAGTATTCTCAGTCTTATTATGTCCCCAAGAGCTTCTAATGTAATTTGTTGAAACAAGGCCACGGTGTCCGCAGGGACAAACTATCTGGGCCAGCAAACCGAAGACTTAAACTCTCTGAGATGTCTTTGAGTTATTGTCTGTGTGAGTTATTACATTAGTCTGATTTGTATCTGTGGTTATAACCTTATTATGTGGCATCTGACACATAGCTATACAGGGATTTCCAGAAAAATAATTTTAAAGACAAAATAGTTATTGCAATCTGAGTTTGTCTGCTAAAGATCATTATTATTCAGAAATTACTTAATTAGCACTATCTAACACTTCTAGGTGTTAACTGTTAATAAGGGACACTCACAAAGAAAAGATTTATTGTGTTGACTTACCTTTTGTCTCCAATGCAAAAACAAAAAACAGCAAGCTACGTTGGCTCAAAAAAAATTCACAGTTTCTACACGAGAGCTACGCCATCCTCAGCAAACAATGAGGAGAGAAATGCTTAAGAAGATGA